ATCCTCACAGCTGCCTGTTGCTTCTCACTCGCCTTGCAATGTGTCCTCTTAAACTGGCTGGATAGCAACAGGCCAATCCTACTCACTGTTATGCTTGTGTATGCTGCAAACCTCAGGATGCCTTCTGTAAATTCTGCCATGACACGAAAACTCTGTATGCCTTGATCATTCCCCTTCAGCCATACGCTCTGGTAGCACATAATAAAGAACCCAGCAAACTGTCTTTATGTTGGAAGTATCAAATTTTTGTCTTTGGTTTCAAAAAGGAAATGTGCTGAAAGTTGCAAAGTTGGAGAAGCAAAGAAAAACCTACAGATTTGAGTAAGAGTAGATAGGGTTAGGATTTTCTGTACAGTTATCAACTGCTTCCTAAAGTTCACCCATACTACATGGAGAACTATTATGCCTTCATATCTCAGACCGTCACCAGAGCTACTAAATATGAGCATTTACGTATTGCACCATTCTTCCCTTCCAGGCGGCACTTCATTAATTTCACTGTATGTTTGTCCAATATGTTCCAATTTGCTAGGGAATTTTCCATGCAAAGGACGGTTCTGCATTCAGTTCTAAAGTGGCTGAAATAACCCTGGCAACATCTATGAAAGCGTCAAATGATACTAAGGGAGCTGTGGGGGTGGAACTGCACAGCAGAGCAGCCTACGCTCTAGTATAGTGGCCAGCTGCGTTCTTGTCATGAAGCAGAAATGCTCGAGTGGAGCAGAGACATCAGAGCTAAAGCAGGGTGTGGCAAGTCTGCAAATGAACCTCAGTTACAAGTCACCAGAGGCTTCAGAAATGGAAAGACAAGTTGAGAATATCTGATGAAAACACTCTCCTAATACTACCCAATGGAAACTAGAAGTTTCTCTAGCAGTCTAAATGGAAGCTCTGCTGAAGATTTCTGGAAGCGCAAAATGGAGGCTGCTCTCCAAGAGGATGTTATTGTGTAACTGAATACGAATCCTTACTCTATTGCTATTTTGAAACTAAGCTCTTTCTGTATTCAACATATCAGTTTTTAGCATGTCAACTTCTATTATCAAGGGCTAGGAAGGAAGTAGCTATGCATTTCACATACAGAAGTGGTAGAGGTATTTCCTATGGAGTCAGGAAGTAGACTACTGAATGTTTAGTAAGAAGTGCCCTCCCAACACAAATTACCAAGGCCTATCAAGGAACTTGATGATAAGTTCACACCATAATATAGAGCAGAAACAGGGAACATGTGGGCTTCACCTGCTATTAGACTCCAACTCCCACAATTCCCCCTTGGCTACTCTCTTTAGCGTTGATCAGGAGCTAAACAAGCTCCATCCTTCCATTTTACGGTTAATGCTTTGTACAAGATATCCTTTAGGTTCTGTGAATCACTTTAAAAATAACTTTGGTTTTATTTCCCAAAACAGTACATAATGACTTGTCTATTTGCCTTTCACTGATTCTGTGCCCATGTATAATCACAAGATAAGATGAAAGCTTCCTGATCCTGACCACATCAATGTCTCCAGCCTGTAGCATCAATGGTGGGTGGGAATGGGTGAAGCTGGCCTACCATTAGTAAGATAAAATGACTGCTTCAGGCGCCTGGAACAACCAAACTCCCTGGTTGTTCCCCAGTGTGGAAGAACAGAACTGTGAATAATGGCCTACTTGAGCGGGCTTCCCTTCCAAACATTCTGCTCCCTCGGGTGCTCTGAAGAACAGTATCTCATTCTAAGTGTTCCAGTAACTCTCAATTCACAATGCATTGGACTTCTGTATATGGAATGGGGAGAAAGAGCAACATCTTGATTTTTGCTGATTATGCAGAATAGGTGGTATCTAAATAAGGGCTTATGCTTTCCAAGTAAGTTGGAAAGTTTACTTACAAAACTAAGAGATCATATGAAGCCCAAATGCACTTATACATACAGCCAGGCAAAGACACATGTGCCTGGAAAGCATGACTCATGCTGATCATGACCATTTTCAATTGAAGACAGCTGTTGTGTATCCTTATGAGTACAACAGTGGTTCTCAAGCTGCAGGGAGAGCCCCCACTGAGAGTCCTGGATCACCTGAACACACTCTCTCTCTCTCTGTCTCTCTCTCTGTGTGTATGCAAAAGTCCTAGGGAGGGATAAGCTCCCAAGAAAAGGAAATATCTTTCTTTCCTACCAGCTATATTCTGAATAGATTGCAGGTCCTTAGTAAAATATCCTCACTAGATCACACTGAATTTGTGGTGCTCAGTGCTTCCACAGCCACTATCATCTCAATGTGATATTGCAAAATGAGTTCTGAACAAATGGGTTCAGCTTCAAAAGAAAAAAAGGATTTAGATTAAACATTCGAGATAATGTTCTAATGGTATAAGCTCTTCGACAGTGAGACAGATTGCCTCTGAAAGGGGTGAACTTTCCCTCACTAAGAATTTCTCAGTAGAAGCTAGAATTTGTTGAAGTGGTTGATTTCCAGTACAGAGGGGATTTACAATAGAGGACCCTTGAGGTACCTTTCAGTTCTGTGATTCTGTGAATTCAGAAGTATTTCTACATTCCTTTTATATTCTCCTTTAGTAAGCTCAAATCTTGTTCTATTTACCTCTTAACACCAGAGTGACACTCACTACTATAGCTCATGGTTCTTCACACCCAGCTGCAAAGGCATGTGCACAGCCGCATGCAAATTCAGCTGTGGAACAGACTGATGCTGGGTAGCTTCCTCAACGTATGTGCACACCTTCAGCTCAGTTTAAAACATTTGGGGAAACACTGCATACTACTTTTCAGAAACTTTGTTCTACCCTATCTTATTCTGTTCAACAATATGGGATGCTGTATAGGATTAGCATGAGCAGGATGACAGGTTGAGTCGCCTTGGTCAACACTACTATCAAAAACACAAAATATAATAATAAAACTTTATTTATATACCGCTCTATCTCCCCGAGGGAGACTCAGGGCGGTTTCCAAGTAACATCACCGAAACATAGAAAGTAAACAGCATAACATAAAATTAACAAAACAACATAAGCATAAAATTAGCACAATAACACATGTATATTAAAAATAATCCTGCCTATTCAGAGCAATTAAAAAGCTGGAACAAGGCTAGTGCAAACTCAAAATATGAGGGGGCCAGGAATTAAGTACAGTGCTCTAACAGGTTAATAGCAATAGCAGGTACGGATCTGTGGCTGCTCATTTCCAGGGCCTATTAGAGGGGTGACCGGGGTAATAGGGAAGAGTGCAAGGCCATATTCAACAATGTTTGGGCTGGACAAGAACTGGTCATTCTCAAAGGCTTGTTGAAAGATATCTTCCTTTGTAACAAAAGTCTTTAAAGCTTCTCCTTGTCACACACAAATCAAGATGCGACGTGAAAACCTATAACAAGGGTGGTCACCATGCAGTCCACAGACTGCATATTGCCCTGGCCTCACATCACTTAGGTTTTCCTGAAACAGCTCCTCCACAATGCAATATTTTGCTGAGAAAAAAATCCCACATTAAAGTTTTGAATCTCTCACACCCAGTAACAGCCCCAAATCATCCCTTAAACCAGGTCTGCACAATTTGTGGCACTTAAACTGTTCAGAACTTTATTTCCGTTTCCTGAAAATTGTGGTGGTGTGGTCTGCAGAAGGATAGAAAAACTCAAAAACGGTCATCCATTTACCTCATGCATGTTCACTACAGTATAGTTCTGTGAATCAGCAGTCTCAACCTTTACCCCCCCCCCCCCCCCCCCCCCCCCCCCCCCCCCGGGGCTACTAGCAATTGTAAATTCCAAGTGCATGATAGGGCTATGAAGTAAAAAGCTGTGCTCTAGAAAAATGGGCTAGATTTATCCAAACCAATGAAAAGTTGCTTAAGAACCTTAGACTTTCTTCCCAGGTATTTTAAATGGAACATTAAATAACTCATGTTGTCCGATCCAAAGCTCAGATCTTGCAAGCTCGAGGATCTGGTTTCCTTGATTGAGCCTATATCCACCTTTAATATGATCTTCCTCTTTTTCTGTTGTTTCATTGTCTTTCCTAATGAGTTATGCCATCTCATGATATGTCCAAAGTCTGATAGCCCAAGTTTGGACATAACTGGCTTTTAAGAGAGGGTTCAGGCAAGATTTGCTCTCAACCCCATTTATTTGACTCTTTGATAGTACATGGTATCCACAGAATAGCCTTCAAATGAATCATTGCAGTAAGTGTGACTCTTTTATATCTCTTGTCATGATATAGTCTATATTGGCAAAGTTAACCAGTTAAAGGGATTGCAGCCCTGGTTGGTAAGTGCAGAGAGGGGGGGGGGGGGGGGAGTTCAGAGTAGCTTTAAAAGAAGAGAAGTACTGACAATGACAGTAATGACATTGGTCATTCAAAAAACCATTACTGATAACACAAATGTCCCAAAACTGGATAAAATAGTTTAGTTAATATATGTAGTGTCATGAGGAATATTTATCTTGACTGAAATTCTGGTGGCAAGAATGTAATTTTCTCATGACTCTAAACTCTTCCTTTGAACATTTACACAAACACACACACACAAACCTGCCAGATTCTATTTTTTAAGGACTTTAGATACAATTTAAGTACCCAAACCATAGCTTGACAAAGAACCAAAACGTTTTCTTCACTAATATTGCATTGTTCATACCAAAAGTACTTTTTGCAGATGAGTTAGAATTATTCCATTTATATACTGCACCTAAAACTAAAGGCATGAGCCAATAAGCCATATAATTTCCATATTGTTAGTAGGAAGAGAATTTTCATAGGAAGGTATTGTGTTTGCCATTTTATATAATATAGATCTTTTCCCCCCTTTTTCTTTGTTCTGCTTTGTTAAGTACAGTTAATATTCTGGAGAGCTGCTATGGGCCAACTGTGTTACATGGGCCACACAAAGAAATCCCCAAAGTACTTGTTAATTCCAGTCACTCGTACACTCCTTTCCCTCATATTCATTTTGAAAACCCACTCCCATGCACTCCCACTTTTTTCTGCTTACCGACATAATATGTGCTAGGAGCCTGATGGTCATTTAATGTTGAGCCCAAGATAGTTGTCGTCTTTGTGTCATGACGAAGCCACAATGCCACACCAAGAATTATTCCTCCAGCCAGCTGTTGGGAGGGAGGGGAGAATAAGAAAAGCAGGCTGGTTAATACAGCTGTGATCCATTTGAACGCATGATATGCAGAAGCAATTTGTGTCACAAAGGTTTGTTTAAATTATTTCAAGATTCATTAGGCATCTAAAGCGGATCAAACATGTAAATACACAGTCAGTTAGATGGGCTATCTTAGATGGCAGACGTTGTGTTCTAATTAATCTGGGAATGGAGGAACAAGATTAGCGAAGAATAATCTAAGTACCAAGAGATAATCTATTGAGCTATTGAGTAGGAAAGTGAGGGGAAAATTGTAACATTTATGCTTACTCTAGCATTAGTAGGGAATACTCCTTTAATAATAAAGGAACGGCTGCCCTGTTTCTTGCTGTTGGTTGTTAAGTTGTTTCCAACCTATGGTTTTCTTGAGCCAGGCCTTTCCCGGGTCAGCCAATGAGTTTCATGGCTATCTGAGGATTCAAAACCTGCAGTCCAGAGCTGTAGTTCAATGCTCAACTCACTATGCCATGCCCCAAAGCGTAGCTCAAAATGTGTGAAACTTAGACATGTGAATGTGGCATGTATTCTAAGTTGACCCCGAGAGAGCACATCATTAATTAATTAAAATTAATTTGAATCTGTGTGAAGGACATTATTAAGACACTGGGAGATATTGCAAACAGACCAGTAGGTGGCAGACACCAGACTGCTCAGAAGCAATAGCTTTGAGGTTTGGTCCAAATAACTGCAGCTGGTTTCCGGTGGGGCACCAGAGGACAAAGCTATTTAAACTCCTGGTCTTTCTCACTGAGGGTACAACAACAGCTCTGCTTCTGTGTAACTCAGCTGCTTGGTGAACCTTGTCCACTCTTGATTCTGTGTATGTGTACTGAAGGAGAGGAGAAGAACTACCTCACTCTAGATTATGTGGAAAGCAGAATGAGAAAAGGCAGGGATGAATGAGTAGTAGATGATGAAGGGAAGAGAGAGAAAAAGGAGTAAGATGACAAAGGGTGACAGTTGTCATATTCCTCAGTAGACTGGTACATTTGCACTAGTTTGCTGAGGAGAATTAGGAGAGGGGAACTGAATTTGCAGTAAGAATGGCAAGAAGAGAAAAGCCATAGAAACAAAAGACTGGTGAAAATTGAGAGAGTGCATACAAAAGTAAAAGCACATGGGGAAAACCTGCTAGTTTCTAATTCAGGCCGAGTTGGCACTGGTTGAATAAATATTGGAGTGGAGAAATAGTACTGGGATAGGAATAGTTGGCTTGAATTCAGTTAATATATTTCACTATAGCAACCAAGTAAGTAAGCAACACCGCATCTCCAGTGCATGATTAATGTTAGGAGTCTGTGTATAATATACAGAGTTTTATGACACTTCTGAAAATGTGTAGCACAGAGAACTGAGTAAAAAATCCAACCTCCTAAAATCTGGATTTTTAAAAAAAACAAAACGATGTATAGCCTTGGTCATTGCAAAGCCAATGAAATGCAGAGAATTGGGAAAGCCCCCCCAGTTTCAATGTCACCTCTGCCATGAACTTACTCCTCCCTCTTTCTTGAGAGAAAAGCAAGATTTGAACTGATGTTTTTCACTCCTCCTGGCCTTCCCAATACTTCAGCTACAGGATCAAAGGGATTTACTCTCTTCTCCCTGCCTGCAACCTGACAGTGTCCCCTAACAAAGGTAGAGTTCATTGGTGAAGTCACTGGAAATCCTGATGAGATCTTACGAGGCATCACCCAGACCTTTTCTGATTTATCTTGTCATTTTAAAGGGCATCAAAACATGATTTCTAAAGTTGCATGAAAACTGGCCAGAATATTGAATTCTACACCCCCATGCCAAATATTTGCTTATGGAAACAGCACACATTGCTTTGGCAGAACGTTTGGCACCATGTGTGGTGTCTTTTGGACCTATCTTAGACAGAGTAGTGAAAACATCAACAAGGGGCACTCTGAAATGCCCGTCAAGTCTTTACTGGCCAATGGCATGGTACAGAAGATTAGCATGGATTCCAAAGAGAAGTGCTCTCTCTAGACCCCTAGTATGGTCCTGTGGTCATTTTTTGGCAGACGTTAGCCACAGACTCATGCTGGAAGCTTAGAAGGAACACTAGATCTAGACCATCACTAGATCTTTTGAACAATGTTATGGTTTTCAAAGCCCTTTGTGTATAACTGAAACTGAATTAAACACATAATACACGGACCTACTATAGTTTTTCTGCTTCATAAGATGCTAATCACCAATAATGAATCCAGATACTATGGAAATAGCAACAATTAGCCACAAAAAAGAATACAATGCATAAGATAATTCTTGGTAAAGCTGAAAAAAGTTGGAAAAGAGGAAGGCCACATTTCAGATAGAACGAGTCAATAAAGGAAAGTACAATTCTGCATTTACAAGATCTGAGCAGAGCTCTTATTAATTGGGACTCTTGGGGTTCTCATATTTATAGGGTTCCCACAAGTTGAAGCCAAAGTTAGGAGTAGTTTTGTGAGATACTGTAAAAATATAAGGGAAGCTTAAAAGGGAAAATCAACTAAAATCAAGGATAAAAAGGCAATGTGGATTATTAGCAAGCAGTCAAGTTTCTGTGGCAAATTAAAATATGGAACCATGAACAGCATTCCAAGTAATAAGCACCAACATATTATTTTCACACTAATTCTACAAAATCACACAATTTGGGCATGGCTAGGAAAAGCACAGACTTTTATTTTGCAGGGTATGTGTGGATTGCTAATAGGAATGAACCTACATCTAGTTCTGCCTAGCAAACCTGGTGATATGGTAAACTTTGGCATCTACAGGCTGGAACAAGACATGAAATCAGTTGGAAAGGAAAAAGGGAAAGAGGTAGCTGTGTAGGAGAAGAACACCGAAGCCAAGTTGGATTAGCAGGGGATATATGATACAGCAGTGCCAAAGAAAGAACCCATATTTTAAAAAAATAAAAGAGAAAAAACAAGCAGAATGCGTTAGCCACTACTATGAACAAGAGGCATCTCCTCACACTCTATACTAGAGAGAAAACACCTAAACCCCCTATCTGTCACCCAAGTGCAAACCATCCACCCATCACTTTATTTATATCCCACCTTTCTCCCAGACTCAAGACAGCCTACAAAAAAAGAATACCACAAAACACATATAGTTTTGAAAAGTAACAATCCCAGAATTAAAACAATATTAAATATCTCTTTGATCTGCTCCTTCTTGCTAGCGCAGCACATAAAGAAAGAGGGATGCTGTGATGCCACACCAAATGTGGCCAGTTGCATCTTGGAATCAGAAGACCACGGTGGTTATGCTTCTTATTACCAACCCTATCAGCCATGACCACATCTAGGGAAGCTGGAGGAAGGGAAAGGAGAGGCCCTGCTCTTGGTCCCACCACCATCGCAAATGTGATTGGTGGGGACGAGGGACAGGGCCTTCTCAGCAGTGGCCCCCTATCTGTGGAACTCTCTCCCCAGAGACATTGGACTGGCCACCTCCCTCCTAATGTAGCTGACTATTTCCTGCCTTTCTACACCAATCAAACCAAGGTTTATGGTAGAATAAAATACTGTAAAAGGGAAGACAAATTGTAATGGATATGGGATAAAAATCAAAAGGAAAAACAAAACCAGAGATGGCGACAGTGCAAATCACTAAACAGGAGAAACGCAGGCTGAAAACAAAGAACACACATTCTTTTGGGCCAGGTTTTTGAAGAGGCTGGCCCTAATCCTATTACTCTAAGCAGCTGGGTGATAAGACTCAAATTCCAGAATACTCCATTTTCTGACTCTCTCCGCCCTCCCACCCACTCACCATATAAGTTTGGCAAATATATCAAGTGATTACTAGAAATGTTAAAGTGGAATTGGGAATCAGATCCCTTGCTGGAGCGATAAAGTAAACATCTGGCATTGCCACGGTAATTCTGGCTTCCACTCCAGTATCAGATAAATAAGAAAACAGCCCAGAGCTGCTCATAAAACCGAAGAGGAAAACCTAAACATTGGTGCAGACTGCAACTTTGCTTTTTCTGCTCCACGTTAGGAAGAACTTTGACAAATTGAAAACATACTGCATTGGTCCTGATCTCCATGCACGCTGATTTTCCAAAGTCTGTTCCAAGTCACCAAGTCTGCTTTCCATGTTGAAGGAAAAGGTCCCAAATGCTTCAGCAACACCACACAGCTAAATAAAAGGCTATGTTTAATGTTTAATTTTTCAAGAGAAAGCTGTAGAACAGGCTGGCGGACAGGTTCTGCAGAGGAGCCCAAATTGAAACCTAAGAGTGTTTAATGATTCCACAACTGTCAAAAGTCTTTTAAAAATCAAAAATCAAACTCTTTGAAAGAAAGAAATTAGATTCTCTTACAGTAGTTGAAATATTAAGTATACTTCACAGTTATTCAGTGTTATGAGGATATAAAAAGTTTTAGCGTTTCTTTCCACTTTATGCATCCCAATTAAAGTTTGTCCTTCTGAAAATGTAACTACCCCGATCCAGTCTCCAGATATGTCTGAATTCACTCCTCACCACTAGTCAGATGACTAGGGATGCTGAGAACATCAGGACAAAACACTGGACACAAGTGAAGGCCCCTCAGTCAGTTTTCACTTGCTTTACTCACTGAGCTGGTAAAGCCTTAAAGAGAAACAAAGCAACTCCTGTAAATGCAGCTACGTCCCGATGTATCTGGACACAGCTTTCAAGTATATACTTGACTTCTCTCTGATTTTAAGAGAAAACTTCTGGCACTCTGTCAAAAGATATTAGAAATAAATCTTCCCTTCCGATACTAAAGACATCTGCAAGTCTCACCAGCTTCAATGTAAAATTTATGTGTGTATGATTACAGCCAGAGGAGAGGAATATAATTGCATTTACTGGGAAGAACTGCAACTCCAGATCTGTAATAATTTAGAAGAACATGGCATTACAGTATCTCCTCCTTAAAATCAGATGTTTTGAGTATAAAATGAGGGGTTGTGTAG